AGCTCTCTGATCTCCTCTAATCTGATAGACAAAAACGGCGTTTCACTGTGGTTCTAACTTGTTTCTCTTTTATCAGGCATTTTGTCGAACATCTTTACAAAAGAGCCATTTGTTTATCTTGTGTGAACTATTTGTCATATCTTTCCACATCCTGCATTTGGGTTGGTCTTCTCTTACTCATTTGTAGGAGTTTGTCATATAATTGTCTGTGATTTGTGTCACATATATTTCTGCATATTAAAACAACAAACAAATCAAGCTTCTTTGACGAGTGCTTTTTGCTAGACCATTTGGTTATTTCCCATTTTCATTTCTTGTTTCACGTTTCTGTGTCTTCTCCTCCCCACCCTTTTAAATGATTAGATTAAATTGGTAATAATTAAATATTAAATTATATTGTTTATGTTTCATTGTTTTTTTATTTAGTCATTGAAGTCATGCATTTAAAAATATTTAGTAACATGTGAAAATATTAATTATTTAATTTTAGGTGAAATAACCTGAATAAAGGCCCATGATGCCAATTTTTATTTATTTTTTAATTTATTTTTATTATTTTTTTGGTGAGGAAGAGTCACTCTGAGCTAACAGCTGTTGCCAATCCTCCTCTTTTTGCTGAGGAAGATTGGCCCTGGGCTAACATCCGTGCCCATCTTCCTCCTCTTTATATGTGACACGCCTGCCACAGCATGGCTTGATACACGGTGCATAGGTCCGCACCCTGGATCCAAACCTGCAAACCCCAGGCCACCAAAGCGGAGTGCGAGAATTTAACTACTATGCCACTGGGCCCACCCCATGATGCCAATTTTTAAAAAGAAAATTCACAAATATTTTGTAGACAAAGAAAGAATAAAATGAAATAATCCAAATGCTAACAATGTTTATATCTGGTTAATGAGATGGGAGGTTTTAGTTTCTGTACATTTTTTCAATTTTCCAAAATTTAGAAATTGATTTAATGTTTTTTAATTAATAGACTTTAATTTTTAGAATAGTTTTAGATTTATAGACAAACTAAGCAGACAGTACGGAGAGTTCCCACATACTCACACCCAGTTTCCCCTATTACTGACATCTAACATTAGTATGGGGCATTAATCACACTAATGAGACAATATTAATACAATGTTATTAACTAAAGGCCATACTTTATTCAGGTTTCCTTAGTTTTTATCAAAATCCTTTTTCTGTTCCAGGATTCCATCTAGGACACCACAGTACATGTAGTTGTCATGTCTCCTTAGGCTCTTCTTGGCTGTCACAGTTTCTCAGACTTTCCTTCTTTGATGCCTTAACCATTTTGAGCAGTACTGGTCAGGTATTTTGTTGGATGCTCCTCAACTAGAGCTTGTCTTACGTTTTTCTCATGATTAGAGTGGGGTTATGGGTTTGGGGGAGGAAGACTGTAGAGGTAAAGCGTTCTTTCATTACTTCCTATCAAAGATACATACTATCAAAATGATAGATTAATATAATAGATAATATAATTAATAACAATATAAGAGATAACATAATATGATAGATTAAATGATTGAATTAAATGGTTGATATGTTTTATTGGTTTTGTTTTTGTGTTATTTTTTTCCCAAAGAACAAGCTCACAGATTTCTTGATTAGTTCTATTTTCTATTTTATTATGCTTAATTTGTGTATTTTCATTATTTTTTATTTGCTAATATAAGTACACCAGCCATGATTTCCTCTGAGCACCACTTTAGTGGGATCCCACGAGTTCTAGTATATGGAATGTTTTTGATTGTTCTTATTTTCTAGATATTCTGCAATGTCTATATAGATCTCTTTTGTGATCTGAGTTGTTTAAAAGCGAGTTTTAAAAAATGTCCAAGTGGTAGGGTTTTGTATCTATAGTTTTGTGATTAATTTCTAGTTTTTCTTCTGTGTTATCAGATTCTGTATTATTTTTGGTGAGGTTTTATTTGTGGCCTATGGGAAATTTTTTGAAATATACATCAATTAAATGTCTTATTAATTTTGCAATTTTGGTTTTTCTGTGTATTTAGCTAATTTGGCCCATTGATCTGTCATGAGCTAAAAGAGGTGAATTAGAATCACCTCCCTCTACTGTGGATCTGTCTGTCTTTCCTTGTATTTCCTGTAGCTTTTGCTCTGAATTTTGGTGCTATTTGGTGTGTTAGATCTTCAATTGCGGATTGTATTCTTTATTATTATAAAATGTTCATCTTTGTCTCATTTAAAATCTTTTGCCCTGAATTCAGCCTTACTTGCTGATATTAAGGTTCCAGCGTCTGCTTAGTTGAGGTAGCACTTACCTCAAATGTATGTGTCTTTCCTTCGTTTCCAACATTGTCCCATCCTTTACTTTGGGGATGTCTCTTCCATGTAGCAAAGGTCGTGGGTTTTGTCTTATTCCCCCTTAGAATCTTTTCTTTCTAGTAGTTTATTATGGCCATTCATTGACGTAGCGAGTATTTTGGCCTAGTTTTACTATCATATTCTACGTCTTTGTGTCTTTGCTTCTTTGCTTCTAACAGCAAAATCTTTCAGTATATGGTCTGTTTTATTTTGTGTTGTATTCTTTCTGACAATTTGGAAGGTTTTCATTTTACTTTTAGTCTTCTGAAGGTTGCCTTTATAACTATGTAGAAATGTATGTAATCTTTTTTTTAATAAGATTGTTGTCTCCCTTCTGAAATAAGTGAGCCCAAAATTAGTTTACAAATTTGGTCACAATTTTCATCTGCTTTGTGACAGCTTTTTTTCTGGTGAATTTTCTTGGTTTGCTGACTTTTTTCCTGTTCTTTATTTCTCCTCGAGCATCTTTGACTCTATCATGTGCTGGTTCCTCTTTGAGAGAGGCACATCTTTTAGGATCCTCATTTTGCAGGGGATGCATCTGGAGGAGGTGCCAGGAAGTGTTTTAGGAGAGCAGGATTGCTCCCTGGTTCGCGATAACATTGTTCACAGGACTGCGGCAGCGGTTTCTTTTAGCTTCTACCCAGACAGCAGAGATCTGCAGCTATGGGCTCCCCCTAGCTCAGGCCCTTCTCCCGCTCTGCCTCACCAACAGGCTGCTTCCTGTGAAGATGGCAGGCCTGTGGTCTTCTCTGTTAGCCCTGCCTTCCTCCGTCCTCAGGGCGCAGAGGCAGCTCCCACTGCCAGACCACATAGCCTGTCCCCATTGTTCCTAATTAGGAATCACTGCTTTTTTCCTCAAGGAAGTGCCAGCTAAAAGAACTCTGCCACAGGTGTCTGCTGCAGGTGTTCCCCTCCACCACGTCGGGTCTCGGCTGCTTCAGACAGCCCTTCACCGTTTCTGGCAACCTTTCCTTATGAGCTGTGGTCCGGGTTACAGATGTGTTCTAGCTGTGAGGAAGACGGAATTTACATTTCTGTTGTTCTTTCTCCTTTATTTTGGGTGATTTTGGATATGGACAGGAGTAACTTTATTCTGCTATCTTAGAACTGTCTAGTGCTGCAAACTTCTGTGTGTTCTGGTGTTCCCCCAGATTAGACACCGGCCAGAGCTCTCTGGATAGGGCTGCCTAAGCCGAAGCTGGGCTCTGACAAGAGAAAGGAAAGAAAACGGGAAGAAGAATACAACAGGAGGGTTAGAAAAGAAATCCAGTCTAGCCGCCTGTGCTCTGTGGCAGGGGGTTCCTTCCTTCTTCACCTGCACTTTGGCTGGGAGTGTGCCCCCGTGTGGGTGGGAGGTCGTGGCCGGGCAGAACAGGGCATGAAAAACGCCCGTCTCCTGGTCCGTCTCAGGGGACGTTGTTCTAAGCCTAGCAGCTCTCAGGCCAGGGAGGGGAGGGCACAGGCCTCTGCTCTGGATGGGCTGCAGGGCTCAGCCTTCCATCTCTCCCCACACCCAACGCCCACCCAAGCAACCCATCACCCTGGGTTCTGGCTGGTCTCCTAGTGATGGTGGCCAAGTCCTCCTCCCTGAAAACGAGGATCCTGCCTCAGAGGAGTTTGTCAAAGGTCAATGCTGTTACTGCTGTTTAAATGCCCAAAGAAAGGGCTTCCCCATTCTAAGGGAAGGGGTCCATGCGGGATGCCCAGAGGATAGAGCCAGAAAGGAAAACCTGCCCGCAGAGTCTCAGGCCCAGCCCTTTATATTATTGTCTCTCAGATTTCCACACCACCCTGAGGGAGCATTTTATCCCCATTTTACAGATGAGGAAACTGGAGTCTCAGAAAGGCTGAGACCTTCCTGTGGACACACAGCTAAAAGATGAGCAGAGGGATTTGGATGCAGGTCTGTCAGCTCCAGAGCCTGGACACCAGCTCCCTTACTCCCCTGCCCCCTGTGCCCCTTCCCATGGAGACCCCACCCCATCCTCAGATGGTTACCTTGTGTCCACATCCACATCCCTGGGTGACCTTGTGGTTCCTCGCTCTGTGTCCTGCTCCTCAAGCCTGGGTGCACTTTGGATGCTATTTAAGCTCCCCAGGGCAGCCAGGGATAGGAACCAACCGGCCACACCCTGCACGTCTTCTGCCCCTGTGTCTTGGGCACTGTGTCCCCCGAGCCTTGACGCAGGGCTTGTCCCCAGGGACCAAATGCACCTGGGTCCTTTTCCAGGCTCTGTGATCTTGAGCAAATCACTTAACTTCTCTGGGCTCAGTCCTTATATCTAAAATAAAATTGCCTGTGAGTGCTTTAAGAGCAGAACACCACTCTGAAGCCAGATGGCCTCAGTGTGAATCTTGGCTTAGCCCCTTATTAGCTGTGGGATTCTGGTTAATTACTTATCCCCTCTCTGCTCTTTTCTCATCTATAAAATGGGCATCATAACGTGTATGTCTTGTAGGGAGGTCTTAAGGATTAAATGAGCTACTAAACGGAAATCGTTTAGAACAGTGTCCAGCGTATGGCAAGTAGTAGATAAGTGCCGTATATCATGATATTGATTTATTATTATTATTAATGCATGCAAAGGGCTCAGCCAAGGCTTGGGCATAACTGGCTGCTGATGCTGCTGTTATAACCCGTGTCCTTTGCTTCCTTCCAGGAGCTTGGACCCCTGCCCCAGCCCGGCAGAGGCTGTGGAGGTGTACGCTCCGCACACCTGGTTCGCAGCCCCGCGGCCCATCCCTGGCTGCGGGGAGTGCAGGCTCCCAGGAGGTAGCGGCGGCCCGCAGCGGCCCCCTCCCGCCAGGGAACCATGGGCCAGAAGCTCTCGGGCAGCCTCAAGTCGGTGGAGGTGCGAGAGCCCGCGCTGCGGCCGGCCAAGCGGGAGCTGAGGGACGCGGAGCCGGGGCGGCCGGCGCGCCTGGACCAGCTGCTGGACATGCCGGCCGCGGGGCCGGCCGTGCAGCTGCGGCACGCGTGGAACCCCGAGGACCGCTCGCTCAACGTCTTCGTCAAGGACGACGACCGGCTCACCTTCCACCGGCACCCGGTGGCGCAGAGCACGGACGGCATCCGCGGCAAGGTGGGCCACGCCCGCGGCCTGCACGCCTGGCAGATCCACTGGCCGGCCCGGCAGCGCGGCACCCACGCCGTCGTGGGCGTGGCCACGGCCCGGGCGCCCCTGCACTCGGTGGGCTACACGGCGCTGGTGGGCAGCGACGCCGAGTCGTGGGGCTGGGACCTGGGCCGCAGCCGCCTCTACCACGACGGCAAGAACCGGCCCGGGGTGGCCTACCCCGCCTTCCTGGGGCCCGAGGAGGCCTTCGCGCTGCCCGACTCGCTGCTCGTGGTGCTGGACATGGACGAGGGCACGCTCAGCTTCGTCGTGGACGGCCAGTACCTGGGCGTGGCCTTCCGTGGCCTCAAGGGCAAGAAGCTGTACCCGGTGGTGAGTGCCGTGTGGGGCCACTGCGAAGTCACCATGCGCTACATCAATGGCCTTGACCGTAAGTGTGGCCTGCCGAGTGGTGAGAGCAGGGGGCTTTCAGAGGCTGCCTGTCCCTAGGAGAGTTGGGGAGGGAGGCCCCGCCCTCCAGCATCACTTGGGATAATCCCACAGGGTAGAGTTGTGGTTTGGATATGGACTCTGGGGCCAGGCTCCTGGGTTTGAACCTTGACTCACCCCTTTGCTGGCTTGGTGATCTTGCGCTATGCCTCGGTTTCCCTATCTGCAAAAGTGGCACAATGATAGTAATCTTGGTCAGGGTTGTTATGAGGATCGAGTAAAAATACTAATGTATGTGAAGGGCTTAGAACAGTGACCAGCACCTAACAATGGCTTTGAGTGTTGATGCTAATTATGAATCTTTCAGTCTGTATAAGGGGCATGCAAAATGGTGTCTCCTGTGTGCCCAGCCTCGAGCTCACAGTGGGAGGAGAGTGACGAGAGTCCCTGCACTTGAATGCCATGCACTCGAGTTACTGATAGATAATAAGTGATGATCATAACAACTGTCATTTATTGACCACCTATTGTATGCAGGGGCTGAACACCCAGATTCCGGCTCTACCTGGTGAACTGTTCAAGGGGGCGGCTGCCTCTCAGCTGCCTCTCATCTCTAGCTGATTACTGTTGCAGGGGAATGGCAGCCACAAGTTGTAGAATCTTCTGATTTTTCCAAAAGGGCCCAGAAATCCAGAATTTGTGTGAACTCTCCCAGTTTCTAAAGTTGGCAGCTGCTGAAAACACCATGTGGGCAAACAAAACATGCTTGCAGGCTGCAGTGGAGCCCACAGGCTGCCGGTTTTGACCCCTGACAGCTTTCTGCCTCCCCTCGTGTCCGTGCACAATCATCCTGTGAGGCAGCTTAAAATCCCAGTAACAGATGGTTGTGGGCCTCAGGAGGGAGTCCCTCGGGGAGGTGGGGCCTCCCCCATCCCACCTTGACTCCCAGCCGAGCGAGCCTTGTGGGCTCACACAGTCCTCGTCCACACAGACTTCCGCACACCCCTGACGAAGCTCACGGAGGCAGGCGCTTAGAGCCAGAATTCCAGTTTATTCATTTTGAATGAGAGATATGATTGCCCCAATTTCAGAGATGAGAAAACTGACGAGCAGAGCTACAGGGAGCCAGAACAGGGCCCGACCCAGGTCTGTCATCCTCCGAAGCCCACTCTTTCCCGATGCTTCCCACTTTGTTGAGGGACTGAGAGAAACACTCCAGAAAAGAAGTCAAGAACAGGATTTTACTCAAGTAAAATTTACATTTACTGGAGTGTAGGGTTGGTTGACCATTTTCAAGGGTGGCAGGCCAGCAGAAAGTGGCTGGTGCTTAGCTCTCTGGTATGATGGGCGACATTCTTGATCATATTTCATTCTCAACGGTTGTTGGACTAAGATTGCTGTTGAAGGGCAAGTGCTGTTCTGCTTTCTTTGATTAACTGGGTAAATCCAGGAGCAGACGAGTGTGTTCTGAGGAGGGCTGGTTTAGTCATCCCAGTGCCCTATGGAGAATGTCTGGAACCCTCGTAGACACGGTGACAAGGCAAACCCCCGTGCTGAGAAAACCAACAGCAACTACAGACACTCTTCGTAAGTGGAACTGGAAAATTTCTTTGCCGGAATTGATCGCTGGACTGGAAGGGTGGACCTGGTGGACCACAGCTCTGGAGTCTGACGCACCTTATTTCCACCTGCGTCCCCAGTGCTCAGTGTTTTTGTGTCTTTGGCGAATCACTCTAATGCCTTATGACTCACTTTGCCCATCTGTACAATGGGACAGTGTCAGGTCCCTTTCATAGCTGTGAGATCTTCGGTGGTGGCACCAATAATATGGTACTGGGATTAAAGGCTGATATTGATACCTAGCAGGAGCTACCTGACCCACAGTTGGGCGACACGGTGGGATTCCTTTTGGTTATTGACCCACACTCGGGTAGCATCTGTTCTTGGTTTTCAGGTACAAGGTTAAGGTGCTATCGAGGTTGTAGCAGGTGGCTCCCCCACGCGTGGTCAGATCAGGAGCAGTGAAGACGAGGTGTCCTCCTTGGTGCCATGCTCGTGGGAGCTGGGTGGGAAATGACGCTCATGTTTGGGGCATTTCGAGCTCTTGGATCCTTCAGGTGGCTGGAGAAACTTGGTGAGACCAAGACTTGGAGTGTTCCGTCCTCCTCCCCACTGTGATTTTCAGGTTGGCTGAAGCTGGAATGCCCTCCAGGAGGCAAGGGGGCCCAGGATGTCATGTGATGCCAGCCTGTGGCATCTCGTTCAGTGAGGATTGGCTTGTCTGCGATGGCGTTGGCCTGTTCTCCAGTTAGGAGTAATGTTCTCTGTCTTGGGCAGGGGGTGATTGCAGAAAGGGGGAACTCAGCTTTTCTGGGCTTTGAAAGGCTCATGGTCAGCCCGGGACAAGCCCTGACTACAGGCTGGGCCACAGGACAGGCTGCAGTGGAGTCTGACAGGGGCTGCTTGAGAAGGGACTGTGTGATGCATGTAGCTGGTGACCTGGGCTGAAGTCCACCAGTGGGTCTCTGGGCACCAGGAAGGGTTTGGCCCTAGGGAGTCCCTGGGGAGGGAAGGTGGCCCAAGGTGGGGTTCTGTACTTGAGAAGAATTCTGAACCAACATTGGTTGTGACACGATGGCAGGTCTCCAAACTCAGACCCGACAGGAGTGTGGGGGACCGCAGTCAGAGACAGGCTTCGGAGGCCAAAGGCAAGGCTGCTCTCTGGGGTTGCCCCCCCACAAGATTGTGGGGGAGAGAACTCTGCCCGAGACCCCTCTCAGGCCGGGTTAGACTCTGGCCCCAGCACTCAGGAGGCCGTGCACAATGATTACGTCCTTGCTCTGAACCTCAGTGTTCCCTCTGAAAAATGGGCATGATACAGCTTGCCGGCACAGAGCAGACACACAGCAGTTGGTGCTCACTGCTTTGATTAACTAGCTGAACTGGGCCAGGTCCTGGGGTTCACCTATGGATTAAAACAAAAGTGGCCTTAATAGAGCCTTCTCTAATGTGTTGGAAGTAACCTCATGGATGTCATGTTCTCAATTTCTCAAATTTTCTCAAGACTGTACAAGCAAGACTTAGAAAGGGCTAACCATGTTGAACTCTGACTTCGTGTTAATTGAGAGCAAGAGCCCCTGGAAGCGCATTTTCCTCTTGCAGACGTCTTCCTCAGCTACACCATGGAGTGAAACAGCTCGGCATCTCGGGGTTTACTGCAAAGAGCTGCAGGACGCCCAGGGGCTCTGCCGTCTGAGTGAGCTGAGAAGCGTGGAACCGAGGCCGGGCAAATGGGCAAGCTGTCTACAGAGGACTGGGTTCAGGGCCCAAATAATAGCTACAGCAATGACACCACCAATAACCAGCACTTACATAATGCTTAGTCTGTGCTGGGATCTATTCTGAGAACTTTATAAATTTTAACTCATTCAATACTTGTAACAACTCTTTGACTGAACACCTGTATTATTATATTCATTTCATGATGAAGAAACTAAGGCACAGGGAGCTTGAGTAAGGTGTTCAAGGTCACACAGCAAGTGACTGGGGGAACCAGGACTCACACTGAGGCAGGCTGGCCCAGTGGGCCCTTGTGGGGACGTTTGCAGACAAGGCAGGAAGGGAACGAATAGGAGAGACTGCTCCACCGGGCCAGGTGGCCGGGCAGCAAAGGACGGGACCCTTGCCTTCAGCGGTGAGGCCCTGAGAGGCTGTCCCTCCTCCCACCGCTTCATCTCCAGCCCTCAAAGCTCTCGGCTCAGCACGGCGCTCCGCGGGGTGTTCTGAAGAGCTAGTTGCATAAAGACAGCCCAGCAGTGGCTGTGACTCGGGCAGGCTTTGGTTGCTAACGGGAACGTCACTGAAAATGTCCCAACTGCTGTGAGGGTCGGCCCCTGGGGTGGGCCAGGGCTTTGGAATCTGCGCCGGGCTGGTTTCTGGAATTGCTCCTCAGCTCCCAGCTCCTCCTTCCCCATGCCGGCGGCCAGGAGGGCTGACAGCACGGCTTTGTCTCGTGTCTCGGAGTTCTGGGGTGGTGAGTGGTGCGTAAGTGACACGGGAAGTGGCGAGGAGCCCCAGACGGGGACAGGCGGGCTGGGAGTCCTAAGCAGCTTTGATTTGCGGGTCATAATAATTAGACTTTTCTTGGATGCCACCCATGTTCTATGTCCTGGGCCAAGTGTTTTACTCATTTTTTTGGTCCACACAATAAACCTTGAGGCACTGTTACTGTTATTATCCCCACTTTATAGATGAGGAAGCGGAATCTTGGAAAGGGGAAGAATTTGCCCAAGGCCACACAGCTGGCAAGCAGTAGAGCTGTACCTAAGCCCAGGTTGTCACCAGCCCTGGGCCCTGCCTCCCGCTGCCTGGGCCAGCCCCGCTCCGCCCACCAGGCAGGGCCGATGCCACAGAGCAGGCCTCGGTGCCCTGGGCCGACCTTCTGTGTGTGGAGAGTGGGAACCCTGGGATGGAGGACCTGAGCAGAGAGGGCTCACCCACCCGCCTCGAGCCACGGTGTTCCTAGATGGTTAATTGATCTGCCAGCAAGTATTTATTGGCACAACGGCTCAGCAGGGGAGGCTGGCAGCCAGCCAAGGCTTCTGGTATTGATGAAGGCCAGAGAGTGTTTTCTTCCAGGATGACTGCAAGGACACCGTCCCCTTGCCAGAGCTGTTCTCCTAGCCTGTGCTGAACTCGCGACCTTCCTGCTCAGCTCCCCTGTCTCCCAGGGGGCGTGATCCTCCCAGCCTCCCTGACATCTGGACTCAGCTCCCCTTCCCTCCTGACCTGGGCCCAGGCCCGGTCTCCCCTTCCCCCCCTGCCCTGTCATTCTGCCCTGACGCCAGCCCCCAGCCCTCAGCCCAGGGCTCTGTCCCTGTACCCTCAATTCAGTGCTGAGGTCTCCCCCCGTCCGCCCATTCACTTACTTTTCCACATGGGAATGTCTTCTTTCCCCAGGTGGACATGGAGTTCCTCAGGGCATGATGGTGACCCAGGAGG